CAGAAGTTCTATGAGCGTGGAATACTAAATTTGCCAGGAAGATGGCAAAAGGTTATCGAACAAAATGGCAATTATATATTTGATTAAAGTTCATTCTAAGTTTTATTAAAAATGCATTTACTTTCTTTTAAAAAATCAGCAATTACTTTTTGGGCAACCCAATAGTTTTGAATTCACTTTTAACAAAACAAAAAAAGATAAAAATTATTTAGGAACGTTCTATTATTATTATTATTATTGCTTCGCTAAAGTATAATCTGATATAAAATAAATTGAAATGATTTAATTATAATAAATAAAATAAAAATAAAATTATAATAAAAAACAAAGTAAAATCAGACCATACAATATAAACAAAAATTAATTTAAGTGATATGAAATAAAATAAAGAATTCGAATATAAGAAAAAGAAATAAAAAAATATAATAAAATAATCAAATATTAAAAATAAATGTCATATAAACTCTTCGAAGCAGACATGGAATTATGAGTACTTGTACGAGGTGCAATTGACTTTTTCGCCACCAAAAGTACTTAATGAAACCAATGTATAGTTTTCTGTTTTTTATTTTTCAATATAGTCCCTCAAGTGAAAAACTCTGAAAAATATTCGAAAAAAAGGAAAAAGTCACTGGAATCCGGGTTCGGACTGTAGGGTAGCTGGCTAATATCTGTAAATTCATTAGCTTTAAAGGCATCATTCGCCACCCGAGCGTTGTGAACGGCTGCGTTGTTTTGAAGAAACAGCACTCTGCGCGCTAACTTGCCACGTCTCTTCATGCACGACTGCCTCACGTGCCTGTCTCAACAAATTAGCATAATACTGGCCGTTCATTGTAGCTCTCTTTGGCATGTAATCAATTAATAATATTCCAGAAAATGGTAGCCATGATCTTTGACGCCGACTTTACCACTTCGATTTTTTTTGGGCCTTTTTCTTTATTTTATCCACGTCGACTCATCAACTGTTACAATGCGGTAGCAAATTTCTCCCAGATCATCTTTACAATACTGGAATCGTCGCTGCTCATTCAAAATCTCTTTACTAAACTGTAATTTTTCTTCCAACTACCACAATTAAATTCTTCGGCCAGCCAATACTAATTGTTGGACTCTCTGAACATTTTTTTCGGTCACGGCGTCACGAGCAGGGGTCATCTTCACAGGTCTTTTTTGACGAGGCCATTTTTTCACCATCGTATATGAAGGGACAGAATCCTGAAGAACTGATGACATTTCTTTAAAAATTTCTTTCGGCGTACTTCCAGCGAGCGGTGCTCCGGATTCCGTTGACATAGTGTTGTTACTTATTCCAGGTACGAAATCGGCTTTATGCTGAATATCGTCTATGTTCATCGTCACTTTCATCACTTCGTTTTTGTTTAGGTATTCTGTACAAGCAATGCAGACGAAACGTTGTGAGTTGAGAAAACAAGGAATTTTCTATTTTGGGAAATTTATTTGTGAAATTTTATATATTCGTATCATATAATCAAGCTTTGAAGTTTGCTTTTCAAGCTCAATCGATGAAGAAGAGAACAAAAATTGAAAGGTTCATCTGCACGAAGTGCCGGCTATTAGCACATAATCGAATGATGGAACACCTACTCGAGAGGATTCCTCGTTTGACACTTCACGAACTCTCTCGGAATCTGTTGGCGTATTGTTGCTGCTAATGCTTCATTGTTATCATCATTCACACCAAATCTCTCCAGATCTTCGAATCTCATCGAATTCGCAACAGATTCTTTAAGAGGAGTCAATACCATTTGCTTGTAACCTCTCCACCGGCTTGTGGCTTGTTTCCAATTCTGCCACAAGAATCTCAAAGTGAGCCGCTTTAATTTCTGCATCTTCTGATACGTTGAAGGATCGCCAGTGAAATGACTGACGATAAGAAACGACAGAAAACGATGGCGATAACGTTGACGAGTCTCGCAATCACTGGGTGCGCCATCTATTGGGTATTTTCTAAGAGAAGGTTCTACTAGTATTATTTCGCGTCGTGTTTATCTGTGACTATATTCATTTCAAGGGTACTGTTATTTCGCGTGTTTTTACGGGAAGTGCTTCTTCATTACTGTAACATAAAGAAAACTGCTACCGAAAGCCATCGGATTTTACTGGACATTTATAGTGAACATGCTTTAGCCGAACGAACGTGCCAAATGTGGTTTGCACGGTTTAAAAGTGGCTATTTCGACTTAGACGACGGATAGTCAAAAAAATTTCAAGACGGAGAATTGGAGACATCGACGCTCGGCGCAAATGCATGTCAGTCGCAAGAAGAACTTGCACAAGTATTAGGAGTTGATCAAGAAAACGTTTGCATACGATTAAAATCATTAGGATTCATCCAGAAGCTTAGAAATTGGGTGCCTTATGAATTAAAGCCAAGAAACGTCGAACGTCGATTCTGCATGTCGGAAATGTTGCTTCAACGCCACCAAAAGAAGTCATTTTTGCATCGGATTATTACTGGCGATGAAAAATGGATTCATTATGATGACCCAAAGCGCAAGAGATCGTATGTGAAGCCCGGCCAACCATCGACATTCACGGCAAAGCTGAATATCCAGGTACCAAAGATTATGCTATGTATTTGGTGGGACCACAAGGGTGCGTTCTATTATGAGCTATTGAAATCAGGTCAGACGATCAATGGGGACCTCTACCGAAAACTATTGATTCGTTTGAAAAAGGCAACATTTCCATTGACCATATATTGATGGCGCACCGTGTAGTTAGTTATTAGTAACGTTATGCCTCGTACATACTATGCCACAAACTTTCTATAACCAGCTTTTGTCCATTACCAAAAACCGAAGCACAAACATCACGGTGTTTTATACAATTGAAAAAACTCAGTGCTAACGCTTGGTGCTAGACGAACTGTTCACTACCTTACATGCTTGCTTATTACTATTTTTTTTTTTTTTTATAAGATACATATATATTTTCCACAACTATTTCCAGATTCTGCAAACATACACAATTGAATATAACTAACATCCGTTCCACATATGGTTGCAAGAAGCCATTGAACTTTTGCAGATATGATTTGTGATTTTATTGTATAGACTTCCATACATACATATATAGATACATATGTATAAATGTGCATATATAAAGAAAATAGTAAACCACAAGAATGTCATTAGCTTTCAATTTGTTTGCTGTAAATGCATTTTTTCCAAGTTAATGCAAGTTGCGCATGCGTGCTGTTGCACGTGTTGCACCACATGTAGCAAACGATCGACACATGTGTAATTCTTGGCAATTTTCAAATGCATATTCCTACATAGAACAAAAATACAGTTGTATAATTACATTTTTAGTACAACAGATGTCGAGTTGCAATTTTTAGTGCCAAGTCTGTGTAATTGCCACATGTGGCGTTGGTTGGCTCATGCAGCATATTGTGGAATCATGTTGCTCGTTGCTTGGGTGAGGCATTGACCTATCCCAATGTGGATTTTGTTGTGAACGCAAACTGAAGTTTAAATTTTGTTATTTTCCAAAGGCAAATTTGATATAAAAGTAAGTTTTAATAAAAAAAAATAAAAATTAAATAATAATAAAAAAATTACTTACAAAAAAAATACATGTACTTGTACATAAAGAAACATAAAAAATTAAATTTTATGCATTTAGCCCCCAGATATATCACATTTTTTGTAAATACTTTAAGCACTGGTCACTTCGCTCTGCGCATGCGCGCTTGCAGTGAGTTAAGCAAAAGAAAAGTATACATAAATGATTTTCGAAAATTTCTTTTCAGTCATATTAACCGCGTTTGTTGCCAGTTTGGTGAACAATATGGATGATAGCCAAGTTTACTCGCTCATTGAAAATATGAACGTGGGCCACAAAAGCCTTTTTCTCGTATGCCAATTCAATCAATCGTACACGTACATACATATGTATGCACATATGATTATTCGTCAATATAGACTCAGGCGGAAGACCTGTTGCTTGTTGTTTTGCCATTTATGTTTGAATGCCTTATACGAAAGTCTTTGTGTACGAGTTTTCGTGTTAGTGCGTGATGTGAATAAATACAAATCGTAAGGCGTCGAATTCATTAAAGTCTGCTCAAATTTGCTCTGATTGAGTATATTATTTTATGTTGCTTCATAGTCATACACTTTTTCTCACTCAATTCCGTCATTTCCCACTCAATTGCGTACTGAAACGATTCAAACGCACCTGCACATCGTCTACGTCAGGCGGTTGTTCAACGAAGTCCGCTTTGGTTTATCTATGCCAAGATTCGTTTTTTATAGGCATTTGGCAGCAACTATGTGACATTCAATTATCTTAATCGTTTAATCTACAAGTGTTGATCTTGACTGTGGTTTATGGCAGCGAATTATTGCTCTACGTGGGAGTTTCTCACGTTTACAAATGTCTACTTTACTCTAAACTCTTAGTTGGCGTATGCAGCACTTTTGATTTTATGTATAGCAGAGGATCGCTTTGTAAGGGAAAGCCACCTGCTCTCTTCATATCTACTTTGTCCTGATTATGCATCACAAACTCATAGGAGGATGGGCAACCTAAGCTCTCCATAGACATAGTGTCACACAATATTCGAACTCACACCGCTTTCACATAAGTTGGACTTAAGTACACTGAATTCGTATAATATATAAAAGGCGCTTTGCAACCGCGGAAGCAATTCTCAGCCGAGCTGCCCCACCAATTTTTGGTGTTCATTTTGATGACCTACAGTTTATGCTAAGCTCCCTCCGTATACATCATGGTTTTTTATGAGGAGTCTTTATTTCATATCAGAAAAACACTCGGATCGCAATTTGAAAAATTATTTTTCTAAAATTTTGAATTTTGGCCGAACGAGAGCTCGAAAACTGGCCTTCAGAATGACCATACGCGTTGCTAACCTCTCTACTATTGCGGATGTTAATTGCAAGCATCACTAGAAATTATCGAGTAGCGACAAAAGGAACAAGCCAAAAGGTATATCTCACCATCCCAAAGCTTATTTCAATAATCGCATAGCCCCTTTTTTAATAATAATTACGAAACTTTTTGTTCATCACGTTAACATTTCTTCTCCTTTTTTGACGTTGACACCGCTTACGCGATTATAGCCAAATCAAACTTTGCACACTCTTCTTTTCGCTGCCTGGCGCCAGTTGGAAATACCAAGTGAAGCAAGGTCACTCTTCAACTGATCCTTCGAACGGAGTGTAGGTTTTCTTCTTTCTCTTCGTCCACCAGCGGATACAGCATCGAATACTTTCAAAGCTGGAGTGCTTTCATCCAATCGGACGACATGTCCCAGCCAGCGTAGCCGCTGTCTATTCATTCGCTGAACTTAGTCAATGTCGTCCTGTACCTCGTTCAGCTCATATTTCCATTACCTACGGTATTCGTCGTTGCCAATGCGCAAAGGAGCGAAAAACATTTCTCTTGAAGACTTCTAGAGCCGACTCATCAGATGTTGTCATCGTCCATGCACCATGCAGTAGGACCGGTATGATGTGCGACTTGTAGAGTTTGGTTTTCGTTCGTAGAGAGAGAACTTTGCTTTTCGATTGCCTACTCAGTCCAAAGTAGTACCCGTTGGCGAGCGGGATACTGCGTCGGATTTCAAGGCTGACGTTATTATTGGTGTTAACGCTGGCCCCTAGATAGACGAAATTATCTACTACCTCGAAGTTATAACTGTCAACAGTAAAGGATGGTCGCGGTCACATTTGTCACCGGTCACCAGATTCAGATTTGTTTATCAGCTCCTTTAAATTATATGGAACAAGTGATTTATAATTTATTTAAAACTCTTAGTAAGTAGTTTTTGTTACGGAAAATCGAGTTAGAAAAATCAAAGTTGACGGAATGTGTATTGAACACTTAAACGGGTTCTGCATTTGGTTTTCCATGAACATAATAGAAGCAGTTTAAAGTGTCTAAAGGACCTCAAAAAGGTGATAAAGTTTAGCTTGCTAAGTAGGAATGGGCTAATGATAGGTCTTGTTAACAATTTAATTCTTGACGTGAATAGTAAAAATTGTTTTTGTACATAATCTCACATCACTATACAAATGATGAAGTCGATTCCATAAAACTGAACGATATTCCAAACTGAGCCTATCAGGTGAAGTAAATGGTGATGAAGACCATTGAACTCTTTAATGTACCATTTAATGAAAGCTAAGCTGCCTTTTGTCTTATTAGACAAAAATTTGTATGATTTCTAGAATCTAGCCATTTGGACCCTAACCATTGTAACACCTTAATCAATGAAGTCATTAACTTGTTCAGCATTGTGATAGGCAGAAGATTGGAAGGGTTTCCTACAGAAATATATGTATGTATGTACTTTACAAATAAAGTAATAAAAAAAGAAAGGAGCAAAATTATACTTTAAATCTCCCAACTACTCTCTCAGGACACCAGACGCTTCTCTGTCATTTAGGTGAGTATTCTCTGTACGATGCTCGTTTTTAACCAGGATCACTTTTTTTGCTGCTGTACGAAGAATGGTGACCATAATTTAGCACTATTATTGCCATACTTCATGACTCTCTTCTTTAAGCCGATTTTCACCCATTGATCAAGGAGAAAGTCCACAGCAACTATGTATAATTTCATCAACAATTTCCGCTACTATGAACTTATGGAACATTGTCATATTCCCGATTATGAATTCACACGTTAACTCTCCTACTACTTTGGTGTCCTCACCGCTAAGCAAGTCAGTAAGTATTATCCACAAATAGTGACGTTATTCGCGTCTCTACCAATTTGCAAGACAAAGATTACGGAGTTTCCAGTATTTCTTTTACCACATCTGGACTTTTTACTTTTACACGGTTTTCGGTTGATGTGCTCTAGAACATCATTTAGTTATCGGCCTCTGTTTCCCACACCACATTCGTATTTAGTATTTTTGCCACAATACCAATTGATCCCACCTTGGATGACGATCATTACTGAGCAAATGCTGCGTCTTTAATGAGAGTTACAAAAGCAGATCGTTTGTTACACTCAAACCACTTTGTATTGTAGAATGTTCACTCAGTACTCAGCACTGTGTAACACAATTGACTCGATCATAACGATCATTAGTTGGAGAACTCACGGCCAGTTGAGTGTGAGTGAGTGTAAAAGTTTGTGAGGTTCGAATTTCATGACAAGGCCAAGACAGCAGAAAAGCAAACAAACAAACACCATAGACGTTAAGATAACAGCAGCAACCGGAGTGAGAATAAAAAGAGAAAAGCAAATACAAAGCCGCACAAACCGACAGCTTTGTTGTTGTTTCATTAGCTTTTGAAATGGGGAGCAACAAGCAGTTTTACCATTTGTGGCTTTTTAATGACGTCTCGACTGGCCGGCTGAAAAAAGGTGGCACAAATTCCGTAGAAGTGCTGAGTTGAGAGTAAGATCGCCAGTAGAAGCGAGCAAAAAATCTTCATAATTGAAAAGTTTGAGTCAAAACAAAAATCGAGTTACTTTTTTCTTCCATTTGGGTTCATTACAAAAGACAGGCAGGCGGCAGGCAGGCGGGCAGACAGGCGGGTTGGTTGGCGCGCTGGGCAATAGTGAACGAAAATAGCTTGGCGGCAATACGACAATTGCGATTTACGCGTCGAACGGGTGAGATAGACAATATCTGAAGTGCGCGCTAGCAAACAGCAAATTTAAGTTGGGTGTCAACAATAAAAGTTAGAAAACAACGAATGCTTAGAAAACAGTTAAGAAATTCCAGCGGAAAGCAAGGAAAGGTAGACAACAATAAATAACAAGTGCGAGAGAAGAAATAGTAATAAAAAGCAGACAAGATCGCTAGAGAAACGCGTTGCCTTCCGTTGCCAGCAACAATTTTGAAATCATATTTTGGTGACAGTGCGTGCGTGGATGCGGCGAAGTACGAGCCAAGAGCGCTTGGCCAACAAATGTGCAAGTGAAATCAAAATATACGCATTAAGTGCAGCAATAAATTCATGTCTAAAAATAAATTTAAAATTTTAATTCTTACCCACAACAACTTAAAGGCAAAAAGTGATCTACTAAAAATTAAAGAAAAAAATCTAAATTAAAAAAAAAAACTGTAAAAATGGTGGAAACAGCAAAAGTAACAACTTATACGCGCACCACCACCGCTGTGCCTGCTCCAGCTTCAGCTGCAGCCTCGACACCAGCGACCGCACCCGTCACCAATACAACATCTGCAGCGGCGACACCAACAATAGCAACGGCAACAACAACGACAGCAACAAATGCGCGTCGCAATGACGAAACCGCGCGTGGCATTTACAATTTTAAGGTGATCGTTTTCTGTTTGCTGCTGCCCTTGATCCTGTTCGCCGTGTTCCTGAAACATCTGCTGGACTACCTGTTTTCGTTGGGCGAGAAGGAGAAGGATGTGCGCGGCAAAGTGGCTGTGGTGAGTGAAGTGTGGGGCGGAAGCGTCGTCAATGTGTTAGCAAAACGTTGAAAGAAAAGATACAAAACACAAGGTGGTTAGGGCGGAAATATATAAATGAGTGGGGCACAGAAAAAACGTAGATAAGACGCAGTATATAAGCGCCAATTGTGTAAAAAAAAAGTCGTAACTTAGTATTGGGAAAGTTTTTAATGCGTTACGGAACCGATTTAATTTGCTTGCAATGAACACTGTGGGTCAATAAAAAAACTAGAGCATGCATAATTTGTACAGAAGAATTTTTCAACAATGATTTTTTAGTAGTAGCGAGTATATGAACATTTCCGTACTGTCGCACGGGACAATTCAGTGCAGATTTCACCAAAACGTGAAGCGTTATTTCAATCAGAATAATTCTAGAATAGTGAACATTAATGCAATCTAAGCTCGTCTTATTGATGTTATTAAATCCAGCTGCAAGATATGAATGATTATCAGCCAGAATATTTCTTCTGCATTTAGTATATCTTGGAAATTTACAAGCAGGATTTGTGTTTCGGCAATAGTTTAACAATGCATACAAAAAAGTAGTGGGCTCCTTGGTCCATTGAGACGCTTTATATTTTTATTAACTTCATTTTTTATTTAAATAAATTTCTTTTATAATATTTGTTACCTTGCGAATGGGAGTACGCGTTGCTAATCACTCGACAATCGCGGCCGCTGATGAACACATCTTGTATCAGAATAAAGTCAATACGGGTCGCAAATTACCCTCGCCTGTCTCAAAAGGCTCAAACTTGTCTCCTTGAAAGTCTGTGTCTTCATATTTTGAGATTTGGAATTTGATTAATAAAATATTAGTGAATTTTTTTTATTGCTGGAAATGGTTCGGCATTATAGCAAAATACTCACTCAATAGAGAAATAATAGTCTGAAATTAGAGTTTACGGTTAGGTTTATAAGCGCGATTTCGATCTTTTGGACCTTTTTTTCTAGCAATTGAAACAGAATGCACTTTTTCTTCTTCTTCCACACTTAATTCTATGCAGAAAAGTTACAACAAATTGAAAGAATTGTTCAGCTAATGGAGATTTTCAAACAAACACGTGGGTCGGGCGCTCTAACTTAAATGCCAAATTGTAAGGGACTTTTTTTATTATAAACCGAGTAATTTCAAGCTAAAAAATCTATGCAATTGTATTGTTTAACAATTTAAGTTCATCAACTTACCCTCAGTAAAAACTATTGGACAGGGATTCAGCGCTAGGTAGGGCCGAAATTTTAGCGGCATTATCTGTTGTTAACTGACTTATAACCCGATAGACAAGTTTACAAATTAAATTGGTTCTTTTTTGTGTTCTAATGAAAAAAAAATTAAAAAAAAAAACACATCATTAAAAGTATTGTCCTTGGGAAGCGACTACTTTTTTTCATCCCTTTGGTCAATTTCGAATACCAATTAAAACAAATGAGTCCTCTCTGTTGTCGATCCCATTCTTCGATTTCTTCAAAAATACTGAACTAATGGTCCATTAAATCATCAAAAAAGTTAGTGGTCGAAAGGCTTAAGGTCTGGGAAATACGGCGGATGGGGTAAGACCACCCATTTCCGTATGTCTGGTTTTAGCAAAGTACTCCGCAACTACCAAGACGTTTTTTGTCTTCGACGCTCAAATCATGACTTAAAACCATTCTCTGCATGACTTATCGGTCGGCACAGATTCGCCATAATTTTCGATTCCGATGAGCTTCAGCTGTTAGGATCCCATTTAAATATAAAATAGAAAGTTCCTGCTGTTTCTTTAACACAAATGTGAGGGGAACAAAAACAACCTTTTTATCAGCAACAAAGGCTGATGCACACTAGTTTTTGACAGATGTGAAACCTTTCGATTGAAATCGGTAATCGCTTCCAGATCGGGCCCAACTGGCAGGTGTAACCATCTGCTTCTTTGAAATAAGAAAAAAACTGTATTCATGGGTACAATTATGATTATTATAATCTGATATCGATATTATTAAGTCACAGGGCGAGTTATGGAATGTAACGGTAAATTTTACGAGAACTTTTTGAAACGCCTCACTAGGCCCGATTATTTGAGGTATGTAGATGGTAGATAAATTATTTTAAATGCAAGTTTCGGTGAATTTTATTATTATTTTTTTCTAAGTTAAGCTGAAGTGATTTTTAGCCAAACTCCTTCTCCAATTTGTGGTGTACTGCTTGATGTTTTTCCAACAAAGACTTATAGTTTATTCTAAACCGCCTTCGAACGGCTGGTGGATATTTATGAAGAAATATACACGGAGAGCTTAACATTTCCTACCGAGGGGGGAACCCAATTAGAAAAATTCATTTTCTATAATATCGGATATTGGTCGGTCATACTATGGGCTGGCAGTAAACACTCGTCTATTGCGGCGACCATTTACATATGTACAAGTGGGTCTGTGGGTCGGCAGGGTGACAAATTTTCTTTGATCTCTTCTTATTAAACAACAATAAAGAAATATAACTGGCTCGTAAAACGCAGTTGGTAATTCTATTATTTGCGACGTATTTTTCAAAAATTAACTCGCATTAACGCATTTGTTTTTCAATATTTTCTTACTTTCCCCTTGATTAGCATCTTATGCATTTTCAAAAGCGATTAGGTCATCCGATTCATTGAATTCACTTAACGGATGGATACGTGCGTTGTTGCTAACAGCTGCAAGCTGTAAAAGCTTCCGTTCAGGTATTAGCCGCTCCCACGGCAAGCTGGATACGGTATTTAATTTAAAATTATGCGTTGTTTCGCTTGTGTGAAATGAAAAAAAAAACTACAATGCATGAATGTGTGCTGCTGTATGTACATACTTCGCTATGTAAATGCATAGATGGGTATATTTATATGTAAATATGTGCATAGATCTTTAAACCAAACATATGTAAACATATTTTTCCGGCTGCTTATCTATATAGTTTTAAAACATATTTATTTTCTTATAGGCATATCAATTTTTTTTTAACAAAACAAATGTATGTACATACGGGTATGTAGTCATATTTTAATACACGCTATAGCAAAAGTTTATTCAAGTTCGAATTGCTTTGGGTGTGGCGCCGTGCGACAACAAAAGGCAAAATATGCATTAATTTATTTTATAAAAACTTTTGTTTTTAATCACTGAAAAAAAAACTAATAATAATAAACTAATAAACAAGTAAAAGAAGAAGCGGCTATTCACATATATATGCATGTGGATGTTTATTCACACATACAAATACACGCGTATTTGTTTATTTTCATAATGAGTTTGGTAACTCCAACGCGCTTATTGGCGGTCAAATGACTTTAAGTCACGACTGCGTCGTCTAAACACAGATTCTTTATATAAAATATGCATAAACAAGCAGTGTTTGTTTTAGCAGCAACTTTAATTAACAGTGTTTTTATTTATAAAATAAATTAGCAAAGAAGTCAGCAAGCAAAATGATATTAATTTAATTTAAAGTTATTATTTTTTTCATTTTATTATTTTTTTTTTTATATTTTTTTTTTTATTGGCTGACAAAGCAATGTTCAAGGTTAGTCCCGGCAAGCGACACAAGCAACCAACTTAGGAATGTTGTTACTCCCTGAGCGTGCGAAACTGTGTATTTTTTTTAATACATAGATATGTACATATATACAGTAAGTATATAATTATTTTTTTTTTTTTGCGCACTTCAGCGAGCGTTCATCGTGCTATTGCATATCTAAATAGAAACTGGTTTTTAACATATACGGAACGTTCTCAGCCGCACTGCTTATTCTCCAGCCATCACATATCATCACATTCAGCATTCGTACTCAAAATTCTATGCGTCAACTCGTGTGTTTCCGATTGATGACGTTTTCGCAAAGCTCACTCATCAATTTTTTTAACGCTTCAAAGCCTTGATATTCACGAGATTGCTGCGTTGTTAGTATCATATAAACGTTGCATACATACATACGCATGCAAATATCTAAGCTGGAATATGTATGTATATTTGAGGCGGAGAGATGATGATCAAATTTGTGTATGAAATGCACTAAAAGATCTGATGAAAATAACAAAATATCAACGAGCTTATATTTCCCATAATGAAACACAAACGATTTTTACAAGATCTTGATATTTGATCTTCAGTTCTTTGATTTTCAGTTTCGAGCTCCAATAAATTCTAAGCAATTTGTGTTTAACATGTCGAGAACAAACTTATATCGCAAGTCGATCGGATGAGGTTATTTATTTAATTTATTTTAACTTACTTTTTTTTAAATAAATAAAATTTTATTTTTTAGGATATATATTTTGAGCTTTAAAGCCGTTAAATTTAAATCAGAATTAAAATATATAGCCTAATAAAAATTCATAGATTAGCATACATTTCATTCTTCTCCTTTATTTATCTTCCTTTAATTTTTTTTTTACGATACGAAAACGATGCCAAAAACTGCATTTTAAATTATGCACTATTTTACAAATGGATAAAGGTGTGTTTCAATGGCTTGTAATTTAATTATGTATTAAGATAGAACCTGACTTAATGCTGGACAGATCTACAGACAGACTTTATTCTACTTTATTTTAGTTGCTTTATTCTTAATTTTATATTAATTTTATTTTATTATAACTTATTTTTTTATTTCATTTAATTAAATTAAACTTTGTTTATCAATTTGTTTTATTTTATCTTATTTCGTTTTATTTTATTTTAATTACTTTAGCTTTATTTTAATATTGTTTATATGCTTTGATTTTATTGGATGAGTGCATAAGTTCGTGCCCGATTCCGCTGGATGCCGTTCGAATCGTTTGAGAGTGGCGCTCGTGAAAGAAATATATACATATTATATATCGTTGGAAAGGTGACAGTCCGAACTGTAAATCAAGCATAAAATAACTTCATTTTGATTTGAGTTGCTTAGTGAAAAGACGCATGGAAGATGGACAACGAAAAAGATCATATGCGTCATATTATGTTATACGAATTCCGCAAAGGAAAA